ACGATAATGCAACTGCAACAAGCGTCGTTACGCGACACGACGAGACTCGACAACGTGACTACTCTACGCGTTTCTACGCGACCCTACTATACTCAGAAACCGGAAGTGACTCCCCCGTGGCGAGAAGAACGAGCGCGATTCGGCCCTCGACTCTCTCCAAGACGACTCAAATTCACTTCTACGCGACAGCGGGTACTCCCCTTACTCTGACTCTCGAAACGCGACCGCTAATAATTCCCGAGCTCGGAAGGCTGGCACGTGGCTCGCGGCTCCGCGGTTCTACACGGCGGCCATTGCGCCGATTCTATCGTTATGGTGCGAGCTGGCTTACGTGCGATCCACCCGGCGACGTACCCAGGTCAGCAGCCTTACACACGACGACGCTCGTCTCACCCTCGTCGGCTCCTTCGTCCTCTCGACTTCCTCTCGTCAATTCCTCGGTAATCTGGTGCTCGTTCTCGTCGACGGCGACTTCGCACTTCCTTTACAACGGTTCTACTCGCTCGTCCACGGAGAGAGTGAGGCCCGGGAGCTTCCGGCGGATTCTCGCAGGCTGCTTAGCGCTCCCCCCCTCCTGCGGGGGGAGGTAGTCACGCTGATTGGCTTCCGCGTGTCACGGCATTCGCGCGTGCCGTGCAGGCCCGCGCCGCTTTGAATCCTCGCTCACGCGAGCGCTCACTGAAGATTCCTGTCAAGGGTGGCGTCCTTATTCACGGCCCTTGCACTTCCTGGCCTGGCGGAGGAGATCGGGGTGGATTTTTTTCCCGCTCGTCGGGTCCTAGGCTCCCGACGGCGTCCGTCCGGCCCCTCCAGGGTGGCCGGGAATTCTGGCCTCCTCCGGTGCTCTGCAAGGGGTGCCTGGTGAAAGTATGGTTCCCCTTATTTTCGACAGCGGTTACAAGCAATGATATAAAATGGTACAACCTGCTAATCCGGGCTCCCGGATGTGTGCCCTTCTCTCTGCTCTTCGGCCGTCCTTATAATCCGGTCCTTCTTCTGTCTTCCTTCCAAGGGTGGCGGGCGAGACGGCACGATGATACAATGACATTTCACCGCAGCTGCCGAGCGTGATCCGTAGCGCGTCTACGTTTCCTGATACGCTTGATCATTACGCAAAAGAACGGCTAATATAAAAGAATAAAATCTGCCAAGTAAATTAAATGACGCGAATTTTAACGCACGTTCGCAGGTGCGTTTGCACGCGCGCTCGCGTG